GCCCCCCAAATGGTGGGCCTTCCTGCGGGTGGTGGGCCTACTGCGGGCTCACGTCGCTTGTTCGGGCTGAGCCCGGCCGGGTCCCGTGAGCAAGGACCCAGCCCAAGGCCTGGCTCCAGGGTGGGGCCCCGGTGATGTCAATCCGGGTGACGTGAACCTCTTTGATTTAATTACTTTCTTCATTGGGGGGGTTGAACCGCTATTTGTCTGATCCGTCGCCTAGGACGTGTTTGCCTTGGGACACCCTACCAGGGGCATTAAGCCCCCGACAACATAGCTCCTAGGTTCATTCGGATACTCAAACCCCTCCACCACGTTAAGGTTGCGGTTCAAGGAGGGGACGTTTAACTCTGTTATCACAATTAGAAGATGTTCAACAACAAATTATTACAGTATGGTTGCATAACCCAAATCCGCACAACGTTGCGTCTTTGTATTGTCGATGTATGGTGCGATGCAGGACGACTCAGATGCATGGCTGTCGATTTTTTCGTGGTCAAGAACTCTTTTTATTTCTCCTTTTTTTATCGATGCAGGAAAAGCACACACTCTCGCTGCAAAGCACTCCGCACGGAACAGTGTCAAAACAACTATACGGTGACCACCCAGAACAAAAATAGTGACAAGCGCCTGGCTCTGGAGGGGCTAACAACAACAGCGTCCTCCAGTGTCCAACTTAGGTCACTACCCTTTTCCACAAATCTCCGTCCCTACTGATCTGCGACTCCATGCGCACCCATCTCACTGATATTGTCAAAACCCAAGTGAAGCAAACTAATTCCGGGCTTGCCATCATTCCGGGTGGATTGACCACAGAATTCCAACCATTTAATATTGGTGTTAACAGGGCATTTAAAGTTAAATTGCGAGCTGTGTGGGAGCATTGGATGACAGAAAGCGAACACACATTCACCAAGGGACGCAACGCAAGGCGAATTACGCCACTATCTACCAATGGATTGTGGATGCTTTGGCAAAGGTATCGGTCTCAAATGTCGTCCGAGCTTTTACAAAGGCTGGAATCATCACTGAACAACTAATTACCAGCAATGACACTAATTCGGATAATGACGAGAGGGATCCAGGCATGCTTGATTGTTCCACTTAATTGTTTCGCTGACAGTTGTTTTGTTTTGCTTAATGTGTCTTATAACCCGGTGCGCCTTATGTATGAAAATATTCCCGTTCATTGATAGTGCACCTTATAATGCAGTGCTCCTTATGATCCGAGAAATACGGTATACATTGTTATAAATTGTTAATAAAAATATTAATATTGACATTTTGGTTTCCACCTTAAAAAACAAAACAGATGAGTAATTAAGTGGTTGAACTGACCAGAAATCTCAAGCTCTGTCCAGTGAGACTTCTTCCCACTGGCCACCTCCTCAGTTGGCATGATGGTGTAACATCTACGAGGATCTGGAGGGTCATATTTATCCTTTGGCATACCTGGTAATCTGGGAAAACAAATATTATACTGTTACATGTCATTTGGCAATTTAAAACTCTCGTAAAACCTCAAACATGAGCAATAAATGACGAGAAATAAATAGCAAACCAGATGTAAAAAAAGGGTGGCTTCATTTACATTTTACTGAAAGGTGTAACTGTGTTTGGGCAGATTGTGAAAAATGATATCCAAATATTTGTAGTCAGTTTGTAGTCAGTTTGTAGTAAGTATTCTTTTAGAAGCATTGTTATGTTATGAAGTTATGAAGTTTACATGAAAAATCTACAAAAAAATGCCTTAACATAAAATTATTTTGTATTATTATTTTTAAGTACTTTTTAAACAGCATATAAAAAGTAAAGGTTCCTGCTTATCGATATGACTCATCTTTGGTAGCGTTATTAATAATAAGAGTCATTAGGTAAATAAATATATATACAGTTGTGTTCAAAATTATTCAACTCCCACTGCAATAAAGTGTTTTAGCAAGTTTGACATTTATTTTTTTATCTTTTGTAATCAGATCAAAGGACTTGTAAATTAGACAAATGCAACTGAAATTACAACAATATTTCTGGTGACCAACAAATGTCCTTTTTGTGTTTGCAACATTTACAAAATTATTCAACCCCTTAGTCACATCCATCCTTAGTACTTCGTACAACATCCTTTTGGAAGTTATGACAAGCTTGACACAAGTTTGTTGCAGTGATCCGGTATCTTAGTTCATTCCTCATGGGCAAAAGTCTCCAGTTCGTTCACATTCTTGGGCTTGCATGCTGCAACTGCCTTCTACAAGTCCCACCAGAAATTTCAAATGGATTTAAGTCAGAGGATTGCAATGTTAACTCCAGAATGTTCCAGCCCTTTGTCTGCAGCCAAGCTCTAGTAGATTTGGAGGTATGCTCGGGATCATTGTCCTGTTGGAAAGTCCAACGTGAAGACTGCAGCCTCAGGTTTATGACTTACTGTATGACATTTACATCCAAGATCTCCTGGTACTTAATAGAACTCATGGTACCTTGCACACACTGGAGATTCCCTGTACCTGAAGAACCAAAAGAACCCCAAAGCATGACTGATCCCCCACCATGCTTCGGTAGGCAATGTGTACTTTTCTTCATAGGCCTTGTTCTTTCTTCTCCAGCCATAACATTGATCCATAGGCCCAAAGAGTTCCAATTTTGTTTCAGCACAGTATCCCAAAATCTTCGTGGTTTGTCCACATCTTTGTATATCCATATCCTTTCTTATGAAGAGAAATGACCTCCTCTCTTGACTGGACTTCACCATGTTGCAAAGATACAAGTAACTGTCTAGAAGGAGCCGAGTATCACAGTCCTTTTAAATCTGCTTGATTTTTGCCTGTTATGGTTCTGTTCACATCTAAAGGCGTTTCCAATACCAAATTGAAAGCTTTTTATTGAACCTCGGTTCTTAAGTGTGGTAATCTTTAAGGGGTTGAATGCTGTTGAATTGTGTCAGTGAAGAAATCACAAAAAGGACATTTGATACTGTATTAGACAAACTATTTCTGTCTTTTTAGTTGCATTTAGCTAATTTACAAGTCCTTGTTAGATTTCATTATGAACACTATTACAAATATATATTGATTTCCCTAAAACCCTTTACAACATTGGGGGTTGAATAATTTTGAACACAACTGTATTTGTTTGTCCTTTTGCCTGTTAAAGGTTTGAGTGACTTTAAATATTTGGGAAAGTGGACCAACTTTAACAGAACTGGAGTTCTGTCTTAACTGTTAATTTTAATCTAAACATTATGTAAAATTAGCCAAGTTCACATACATAACAAGTAGGAACCACGTTCACGAACATAGGTTAAGCGCGTGTCCAAACATACATACATACATACATACATACATACATACATACACTATATTACCAAAAGTATTCGCTCACTCATTCAAATGATCAGAATCAGGTGTTCTAATCCCTTGGCCTGGCCACAGGTGTATAAAATCAAGCAAGTCGCCGACTTTCTGCACAGTCAATTGCTACAGAGCTACAAACTTCATGTGACCTTCAGATTAGCCCAAGTACAGTACGCAGAGAGCTTCATGGAATGGGTTTCCATGGCCGAGCAGCTGCAGCCAAGCCACACATCACCAAGTGCAATGCAAAGCGTCGGATGCAATGGTGTAAAGCACGCCGCCACTGGCCTCTAGAGCAGTGGAGACGCGTTCTCTGGAGTGATGAATCACGCTTTTCCATCTGGCAATCTGATGGACGAGTCTGGGTTTGGAGGTTGCCAGGAGAACGGTACATTTCAGACTGCATTGTGCCGACTGTGAAATTTGGTGGAGGAGGAATTATGGTGTGGGGTTGTTTTTCAGGAGCTGGGCTTGGCCCCTTAGTTCCAGTGAAAGGAACTTTGAATGCTTCAGGATACCAAAACATTTTGGACAATTCCATGCTCCCAACCTTGTGGGAACAGTTTGGAGCGGGCCCCTTCCTCTTCCAACATGACTGTGCACCAGTGCACAAAGCAAGGTCCATAAAGACATGGATGACAGAGTCTGGTGTGGATGAACTTGACTGGCCTGCACAGAGTCCTGACCTGAACCCGATAGAACACCTTTGGGATGAATTAGAGCGGAGACTGAGAGCCAGGCCTTCTCGACCAACATCAGTGTGTGACCTCACCAATGCGCTTTTGGAAGAATGGTCAAAAATTCCTATAAACACTCTCCTCAACCTTGTGGACAGTCTTCCCAGAAGAGTTGAAGCTGTAATAGCTGCAAAAGGTGGACCGACATCATATTGAACTCTGGGTTAGGAATGGGATGGCACTTCAGTTCATAGTAGGAGTTAAGGCAGGTGAGCGAATACTTTTGGTAATATAACGCACACACTCGCGCACACACACTCGCGCACATACACTCACGCGCACACGCACACACACACAAAAGCAACATTTATTTAAATCCCACATGAACACATACATGCACGCAAGCACGGGCGGCAGACTCCAAGCACCGCTCTTGATTTCTCGGCTCGTAGCCGCAGAGACGCACGCTGTCCGGACACAACGCCGCTTCGAGAGTCGGTCCCAAACGTGGCCAATCTATGTTTGAAGCGTGACCCGGAATAAAGTCACTACATTTTGTTCACATCGAATACAAACTGCGAGGGGACAATACCTTCATTCGTATGCGGTAGAAGTGGATTTAGGGAAGGTAAGTGACGCAGACATGTAGCAACAGCAGCGGTAGCCGCGGCTCTGGGGCAGTCGTTTAGACCCTGAACGTCTCGGAAACCGGCACGAGAACAACAAACGTCACCTCCGCTAAAGTTGGTTTTGCTGGTGCGTCTATGCTTCCTCCACGAATTAGTTGTAAGCTGAAAAATGTTTATTAAATTTAGTAGAGGAACAAAAAAACAAAGATCAAATCACAGAGTACATCTTAAAGATTAGGAACAGAAAATCGACCTTCAAATCCTCAAGTTACTGATCGTAACTATGATGGTGTCACAGATGGAACTTTTTACAGCTTGTAGCTGTTTCCATACGGACTATAGACCTTTTCAAAGATGGCAATCAGCACACGGGTGGTGTGGAAAGGTCAGTTCAATTTTTTCAACATTTTCAAGTTTTGAAATTATATAGTGTAACGCACAAAAAGAGAGGCCTCTTTCGTTAGCTCCGTCCATTTTTTTAAACCATAATGAGAGTTTTTATTCTTATAAACCACTCTCTCGTTTTGTACATAATGAATTACCCCAATGCTTTGCCAGATAACTTTCTATTTAAATAACACACTCTTGTTTTGAACCTATTGCTGTGTTTTTACAGTTTTATCAAGATGTCAGCAGCACTTGCTCAGTTTCAGTGCTTCAGCCAACCCTGGAATCTCACAAGATTCATGGAGGAATGTGCCTATAAGAACATTTGCAGCTGTAAAGTGGGTTTTAGGAATTTAGCAACATTTATCATCAGTCAAGAAAGTTTTTTATGCTTTTTTTGTCTCAGTGGTTGCTATAAATTAAGCTGTCAGGCCAACTATTCACCTAATAATTTGACTAAAGGTTGTTGTTGTTAAATTCCTTGTCTAATTTAGGCAGAGGAGGTGAGATATTTATTTATATGTTTATATAGCACTTATGTTTATATTTATGTAACATCTTAGCTGTCAACATTTTTGACAAAACAAAAGCAAAGAAAGCAAGTAAAGAAGAGGCAGAAAAGGAGGTAAAGAAGGAGAATTGGGTGATTGATGACATAAACCGACATAAGCCTTATGGTAAGACGGTGCGGGTGCCTGTCGATGACGTGTATATGATGAAACATTACCCTAAGACCACGCATGATGCAACAGATGCCATTGAACATCTGAAGCTGGACATGAAATTGGAGAAAAATTTAAAAATGTCATCCTAATAACCCATTGTTAACTTTACTTTAAAGCTAAGAATAAAATACAACAAATAAACAATCTTGATTTTAATACAATACAATACATTTTAAAAAATAGTCATTTGCCCATAGTCTGCCTCAAGGCTTCCTTTGTCTGTCACACATCACAGTTACTCAGATTTGAAAGACCAACAAAAAAGCTGTTACAGTTATTGGCTGTTGGTGAGGTTCACCATGGATTGTTCATCAGTCAGTTGCAGGGCCACATTTGGAGACTAAACCCCTCTTGCTTATATCTATAATCAGTCATAAGTCAATAGTATATTTTACAAAACCTGTTGTTAAATCTTGCCATTGTCATAATGTTAATAAAATAACTAATTTAATAATATATATTTTTTACCTTTTTTAAAGAAAAGTGGACACGTTCGTTGCTACCCTACAATTGCCATTTCCTTTCAGGACTGGAAAGAGATTTTAACAAAATTTTAGTCTTTACTGAGGTAATAATACTCTCTCTTCAGCTTTACTGGAATTTCATGCTGATATTTTAAATCCGAGAAGAGAATCAGATGGTCTGTAGCAGTTTCACATTAATCACTCTGCTGCACTGCAGCAAACGTTCCACCACACACTGAGCTGGACTCCATTAATATTACTGTGGAGCAGCACATAGTCAGGAATAACATTTTTCACAAGTGTGATAGAGAACACCATGGGCTCCTACAGACCCTGACATGCTCACATGACATTTACATGACCAACCAGCCTGTTTTTTTTACAGGAGCCTAATCAAATGAAAGAGGCTCTGGAGAACGGCGCATCGATGGCTGGAGGAGCAGAGCTTATTCAGCAGGTAGATCATGTAGCTAGACACAGTGTCAACATGTGTCTTTATGAAGGCATTGTTTTGTATTAAACATCACAGTATTTTCCCCCTTACATGTGATCAGCATTGACTGATAAATTCAACTTTAGCTTCAGTCTCTTAGACATTTCTCACAGGAACTAAAGTTTTTAAATATCACATTCCCTCACACCAAGGTCCATAGAGAAAATCAGCTATTTAAGCTCCACTAGACACAGGAGCTGCTGGTCTACTACTGCCTCCTGTGATCAGTTTGTGTGACTAAGCTAAATCAAAATTTCAGATAATGAAGTCACAAATTCACATGTTAACTAAGCAATGAAGACAGCAGTAGATCGACAACTCCTATGTGTGTAAGGGAAAAACAGAAGTTTTTCTATGGACTTTGATGAAGGAGAGTGGATGATTTTCAAATGTTGCTTTCTGAGGTATGCATGTCTACTGGGGTCTAATCTAATATTTTTTAACTTTCAGATTATTGATGATGATATTTCAGCAGACTTTTACCTGGAAGTTTCTGCTATAGTACCAAAGATTATGGCTTTGAAAAGCAAACTGAGAAAGAAATTTCCAAAAAGCAAAAGAGGCGAGTTGAAAATCTATACTAGAACAATAACTTAGGGATAAATCCCCATGGGCAGTGGTTCTAAAAGTAGGGCTAAATCTTTAGAGGGGGTCAGTGGGACATCATAAATAATAAATAAAGTTTTCTTTTTCAGTTTTTTACATAAAGTTGTTATTTATGTTAAAATTGATGTTAAAATTATTAAAATGTTTATGGTTAATTATAAAGCACATATGTGTTACCTCTTATAAATGGTCTTCACTTGAGCCACTGTTTCCCAACCTTAGCGTTACAACCACAGGTGGGGTCCCCTGGAATTCAAATGGGGTTACCTGAAATGTCTTTTCAACAAATGATTATTCTTAAAAAAATAAAGATTAAAAACACCACACACAATCTTAAACAACAGTATTCTTTCACTTTCATGAATATAAATTGTGTTCAAATAAAATGCAGCATATAAAAATATCTTAGCTAGTGAATTTTGATTGATGGCTGCACAAGTGACAGTTACTAAAATGTCTCTTGAGTTGCCAGAAAATTGTGACGTCACATGGGCTCACAAGCCAAAAGAATTTTGGGAACCACTGACTTAAAGCCCTTATACTGTATTTGTGGACATGTCCAACACCAGAGCATTTGAAAAGATGTGTATTCAGGGTTAAGCTTTTGCTTTAAAACGTAATGCTAAATATTAAAAACATGGAAAATTAGGGCTTTATTCTCAAGGTTTGAAAATGTCTTGATTACAAGTGAAGTCAATCAATGAAAATATGTTAAAAAAAATTATTCATCTGTCAATTGAAGGTTTAGTGTGAAAGTTGTTATATTTTTGTTCTTATGTTTGACTCTCAGGAATGGTCGGCAACAACATCATCTCCATGTTGGACATGTACAAAACAGGTTTCCAGTACAAGGTGGAGAACTAGTGTTACATCAACATTCAGACTTCAAGACTTCAAGATCGGGTTTATTTGTCATATGCACTTTCAACACAGGGTCTACAATGCAATGAAATGCTTGGGATGGGGGGACCGTAGACTCGCTGGGGTAACATAGAACACACAGTACTAGCAGCATGCGATACTACTACAGGGAATAAGGTAAGGAATAGAGGGAGAAAGGGGGAATAGTAACAGTGCAGGCAGTGCAGGAGTAGTGCGACACAAGATAAGGACATCTAAGTACAACACAGGTAAGAGCATTAACACACGGGGTAAG